GTTAGGCATTACTATCCTAGTCGACCTTCTTCTCCTTTTCTTCCCTTTCCTCTGTCTATTGCTGAAACCCCCGACTTTCTCCTCTTCCTTTCACAAGAAGCTTGGCCGAATCAGCACATAAGGCTTTCTACTAGATTGACCCTGCAGAATTGCAGGCTCTCCATGGTATGGCCAGTGGACCTGATGTGCACCTTGCAATATCCCCACCTAAGTTCCTGCTAACACTAACCTGCTAGTTACAGGTCTAGTTAGCACCTCACTCTTATGGGGGCCAAAGCCACATTATAGATCCAAAAACAAGTAAAATGAAATTTGTTAATGAATTATATGATGAGGAGGACCCTTTAATGGAAATCAAGCTTCTTATAGAAAGGAACAAAAAAAATCCCATATGTTGTCAATGGCAAGCATGAAGCAAGGGCCAACAATCTGCTCCAAAGAATGACTGATCAATTTATTCAGACTCCAGGTGCAGCATACCAATCCATGATGAGGGATACAATTGCAAATACATATTTGCCACAACTATATATACAGTACCAAGGGGCACAAAAGTAAGTAAATTTTAGAAATCTAAGATATGTTGCATGATTAGAATCAAAATACATAGATAAAGCTGGAAAATTAAGAGACACATGGAATTTGAAAACACTAAATGAAAAACTGTAAATAATAATATAATGAAAACGTTCAAACAATTAAAACAAAACATTATCCCAGATAAATGCCATCCACCACATGAATCCTATTTTGCTATTCTACTTTACCAAGGGTCATACATTTGGTAAGTTCTGAATCATAAGAATGCATGATACATGCATATGAACAATTGATGTATGGCTATGTGAATGTAGTTTTGGGGGACACTACACACTATTATTCAAAAAGATAATAAAAACTGGAATTTGATAGTAACTAGTGGTAATTAAAAAAACTTAAATAGATACATATGCTGATTCAAAATCAATTTCAACGAGTAGAAGATGATTGTGAATTACTTCACTGAGAAAATTCTCCTTTCTGAACACAGAATGCTTTTGTCGAAATTTTATCATCTCTGAGAAGAACCTAAATTGATTGCTTCTCCCGGAACCCAACTGTTTGTGAAAAGGGAGAAAGAAAAGGAAAAATGCATTAGTCACCCACATTAGTTGGGTAAAATCCTATATGAGAAGAGGAAAGGTAAAGGCTACCAGTCTCCACTGGAAATGGTTTATAGCAGTGTCGTGTCCATAACTGTTGTTATTTCCATAGCGAGTATGACCATACTCATCTCCCATTAGCATCATTGGAATTCCCTGTATGGATGCCATTATATGCTCAGATATGTCAAGATAATCAATGTTTTTGATCTAGCTAGTCAGCTCAGATAGAGGTGCAACTTGGGCAGGCCCAACCAGACTGACCCAAATACACACACACACATGCATAAATAGACACATATTTGCATGCATACATAAATATATGCATAAATAAACATATACATTTGTGTTAAATTTTAGTTTGGGCTGATTGACCAACCCAAGCCTGGCCCAAGTTGGATGGACTGATCAAGCTTGATCTTAGGCTTTGGGCCTTAAGGCTCAATTCTTGGGGTTTCTTTGATCATCAATAGAGAAAAGTCTTTCATTAATTGAAGTCAGAATTACAACATGAAGCTGGGCAAACCATCCAGATGCCCATTTACTTGTGTATAACCCATATTACAATTTTGCTCTGAACAAATGCTCCTATAAACTCTTGCTTAGCTAGGACATCTGCCAAACCATTTGCAGATCTTTTTACCCATCTGAAATCAGCTTCAACCTCTTTTGCTGGTTTACCCATCTCCCTTAGAGTTTGACTGTATATCCAAGCACCTGTCAGTTACATCTCATCCAAGAAATGACCAATCTTAGGGTTGGGCCTCGGTTGAGCTTAAACCAGGTCCTGCCTGCCAGAATTGCATCCCTAAGCTCAGATGGGGCATCCACTTAATTCAAGTGTTCAAGCTTCTAAACACACAAAACACTTGCATAGTTGAGTTGCCCCATTACCTAGAAAACCAGCCTATATCATGTATGCATGCTACTTATGTATTGGAACAAATGGTGGAATATTAAGGTCATAAAGAAGTAAATTGAGTTACCTGGGAAATCATTAAAGCCATATGGAAGTTTTTCATTTGACGCGACCGTAGGGCTTTAACATTAGCATCAGTAGTTTCTCCTGTTCAGTACATATAAAATGTCTGCCTGTGATTTCCATTAGTTACTAGGGAAAACATTCAAGGGTTAACACTAACTTGTACATTTGACTCTTCATCTAACACATTGATCCTAACAAAAGAGAACAATGAATTATGCATGAATTTTGTTTAATAATTGAAAAGAAACCACAGAAACCTTAGTTGTGCTACAAACTATAATTTCTTTAGTCATAAATATAAATTCTCATAAAGTTCTAAATTGCAAGAGAGAAGAGCTTAAATATGTTTATGTATGAGGATGTTATCTCAACTTTTCTCCTTTTTGTTATACCTTTCATAATTCTTGCTGACTCCCAAGTTAACACCTCAACTCCACTGAGTTGACTCCATTTCCAATGATGGGGAGTCAAAACATTGTGATGGATCCAAACGTAAATGACTCCTTCAAGTTAAGTAACTAATTCCTCTGCATCAACATTAAGTTATAACATTGCCACTCTCTGCTTTTTGTTTGTTCAGTTCAGCAGAAGAGTATGTATTTGGGGATAATCATGCTCAATATATAATGAAATCCTTTACCCTTCTCAAAAGACAAAAGTGATTAACTACAATGATTCCACTTACCCTGAGTCATTTGACTTCCTAGTTGGTAGTGTACCTCTAACAAGAAAATTTTCTTTGATTAATTCCTATGATCTTATGCCAATATTTAAATGCATGTGGGTGCTTTAAAACATATATGGTAGTTCTTTGAGTTTTTTTTTTTCTTTTTTGCATATTTTCTAATGATATTAAATAATAAAATTAAATATTATCAAAAATATTTTTTCTTTAATATTAATAATTACAATTGTTTATGATTGGATTAAAATTTGTGGTTATAGAAATGTAAGATATAATATAAAACATAATATAATGTAGCTTTCATATTCTATAAAATTCTAGAATTGTAGTGTGACTCCCCAAATCACTCCATGACCCTAGAGTCAAATCCACTACCAACCTTTCCAAGCCAAGTAAATAAGGGTTTTGCAAGTGCTTTTCTATTACCAAACATAGCTGGTAATGATAGCATTGTTTAAAAAAATGCTACAAGGAAAATTTTGCCCTTTCTTGTCACTTATTATTTATACCATGTAAGTAGACTTACCTGACTAGATGCTTACTTCCCTTGATAAGCCATCAAATATTGATACCATCAGATTATATGTACTCTTGGAGAAGTTATTGCATCTTCTAATTCTAAAGATCCATCCAGTTTGCTTTCAGCACAGCAATGAGAAAATAAAAAAGAAAAGAAAAGAAAAAGCAGAAAGCTATGATATTACCTTCAAAACCACAATTCCAACTTAAATTATCATTGCTTCCATCTTTCCCACCTTCTCCATTCGCTTCATTGTGCTACAAATTATCCATTATATAAGCAGATTTATTTATAAAATTTGGTTTAAAGCATCACAAAAGAACTTGTATTGGTACTGCAAGAATACCTTGATGTTGTAGGAAACAAGATCATTTAGTGTAAATCCATCATGTGCAATGACAAAATTGACACTATGGTAAGGCTTGCGCTTGTTTACCTATAGAACAAGTTAAAATATCAAATCAATAAGGTTGATAAGTCTTACTTTCTGCATAAGGAGATACTTATAATTGCAAGAGAATCTTTTCCTAATTATCTAAGTAATAGTATACTAAGTTTTTTTTTTTTTTTTTGAGAAGAAAGTAATAGTATACTAAGTTATCAACTATGTGGTTTTACTTTATCCCAATATTTATTGTTTAACTTCATATTTCATTAATAATTTAACATTCTCCTTTAAAACAATGATCAAATCATAAAGCATTATAGTGCTTTTGATATCTAAATCTGATATGCTTGATCCCATCTTTAAAATATTTTAACCCCTGAATTTTCTCAGAAAGCTGTTTCATATGGTTTTTTGGTCACTTTCTCAATACTAGCATTTTATTTTGCCTTTTCTTTTCCATCAATAAAATATTTGTTTTTCTTCTCTATTTTCATTCATAATAAATTCAAGTTAATATATGTATCTATGCATATAAATAAAAGGAAAAGGAAGAAATGTATAAAGTGGGGTGTTTACAAGCAACAGACATGAGGAAAAAAAAACAAGTAACCACATTTTCCCAACCTATAGAAAAGTCACATTCAATTTATGGAAAATGAATTTAATGTTATTCAACTCTTACTTTGTATAGATCAGAAGATCCAGCTACACAAGTTGCAAAACTCCCCTTCATACCCTGGTCACCCTATGAGTATGGATGTGTTGAATCCAAATCAGTAAAGAAAAATATGAGCACATCAACAAAATAGGCTACTTCTTCATAGTTTGAGATTCCATTTCCATTGTCTAGTAACTTGACTTTAGCCAACTCGCTAACTCATAAAAGAAGCATCAACCCATCTTTTCTTTCAAAAGTAATCACAATGGRCAAATGGGGAAAGTAAACATTAGTGAGAAACATCTAATGATACATGTATATGTATATATAAGAAATCATGGACACCTTATGGCTCTAATTATGCTTGAAAGAATATGATGCCCAGAATCTGATGTTGAAAAGCTTCTAACAGACATCCGATTCTAAATAGTTGGCACTTGGGACAAGGCTTAGTTAACCTGAGTTTCTTTTTCTTTTTCAAATGAAAAAAAAATACTAATTCTTAATATTCTTCAATCACTATGATTTAAAACCTTAAATGGCCAAATCAGGATAGAGATAAATTTAACATAACATAACTAAGAAATAATGAATTTATTGCTTTCAATTCTGAAGAAGAAAAATTCAATAGATATCCTTTCAATGATTTTTGAATATCATACAGCCCCCGACCCCCCCCCCCCCCATAGAGAATCAAAATGCCAAAACCCAATACTGTAAGCCGTAATCAGGATATTGGCAACAGCTTATATAAAAATGAATATAACTTCTATGTAATTTTTAAGGATGAGGGAAGGCTTGCCTGGGGGGTTCATGGCAGGTGATTTTGGCCATAATTGTCTTTGGCCCTTACACTTTTTTTTTTCTTTTGCCCAGAATAGCTCAGGGTGGGATTAGGGTGGGGTAAACTTTTTTTGGCTGTTGGTTGTTTAGCCTTTGATGTAATGTCATTGTCCAGCTCTGGACTCTTGGGGTGTGAGTTTGGGGTTATCATGTTTATCCAAGTGTTATTAGCTTCTCGGTGTAAAGGGTAGTTTTTTCAGTATTTGCCTTTTCCTTCCTCCCATTTGTGCATACCTCTTGTATAAAACTTCCTCTTTTTCAACATAACAAATGCATAATTACATTGCAGTTTAAAAAATTGTTGAGGATGGATCTTCAATTGTGTCATGTTTTAATCATTTACTTAAATTCAAATCATTCATTTGCATTAACAAGAGAGTCAGGAAGGCCTCATAAATCATTAGACAGTATATTTATCAAGAGATCTGAACAAATTTCCAACTTTTGACACAATTTTAGAGCTTGTGCACCTAAAGCAGCTCTAATGAGAGGACTAAAACATGTTCTAGAATAATTTTACAAAAGGTATCACTACAGATCATACACTCTGACATGTTGTTCATCAATTTATCAATAACTTGAAAAGATTGGTTGGGACACCATAGCACCAAATTCTTGTAATTGACAAGGAACCATATTAATGCTCTATTTAAATATAAATTATCCTAGATTGCCTTGTTCAATATAGAAATAATATCTTAGTAACTTTTACCACTCCTTGCACAAGTAACACCAAGAGATGACACCTCATCTCAATTGTTGTAAACAAGTATCTAAGGGGTAAGGTGGTAGGATCCAGCCTTAAGTCAAAATTCCCAAATATTGTACACAGCATTCTTTATCAATCACAATTAACAAAGGTCCAATGTTAAATGTTACCTATCAGGAAAAAAATATTCTAGAAATTTCAAATGCTGTAATCTTCAAGTGCATTACCTTTTGCACTGTAAACTTTATATTCTAGTGCATGCTAGACCATCTCCTATGCTACTAATCAGTATTTACAATACATGGTTGAAACTTTTATTGCTGTTGGCATCACCTTTATGAATCTCCTGATATCGTCACGGTATTTTCCATTCCATTCAGCCCACCTGCAAGATAGGAATCCAATTTAGCAAATGGTTGTAAAGTGAATATCCTACATATGCTCCAAATAAAAACAAACAAGTTTCTTAACCCACAGATTGTCATAACATAAACACACTTAAGTATAGAAGTTAAACACTTTACTTTCTCAATGGTTTGGTAAGGGGATGGTCATAGTATGCTATGTAGAGCAAAATAGAAATGTATCGAAAGAGGCAAAAATTTTCAGGGCTGAGAATTTTATTCTATAATTATGTTCTTGAGGTATATAACATTAAAATTCAAAAAATATGAACTATTTTAATAGCATATACTTGTCTATAGACGCTCATGTATTTACAAGTCCATGTTTTCTCAACTTGCTGAGTCGGACTCTTGGACATGCATCGGATTCTGGCTCCCATTTTGTGTCCATACAACATTTTCGGAAAATAAACTTTATTGACCTCATGTCCACTTCCAATCATCTTCCCTGTGTTAAGGTAAAAAGAGACAATGATTAGGAAAGAAGGTTACACGACACATTTATATATGAACCTCATCCCCTATACAGCCAAAAGACCACCTTTTGTTTTGGATGCTAGAATAAATGAGAAAAGACACCACTGAAAGCTCAACACTCCTCAAAACCTGATGAAAACACTTTTGTTGGTTTTAGAAAAGTTAGAAAGATTGAATCCAAGCAGAAGAAAACCAGTCCAAGAATTTCCTACTTGTATAACAAGAAAAATAAGAAGGAAGAAGAGAGAAAGAGCTGTTCAAGAGAAAGAAGAAGAAGTCGGAAGAAAGACGAAGAGAAGAGAAGAGAAAAACGTCCCTCTGTCACTCCCTTAGTCTCTTTATATATGTGCTGGATTAATTTAAAGGAGAAATTACATGAGTGCCCCTGGTTAGTCAGCTGACCCAATAAACATAAGAACTAATTTGTCAAGGGCCCATTACAGCATTGGCAGCAACATTTTAGCCTTGTTCTCAGGCCCCATGGGTATAGGAGATTCTAATAGAGCTGAGCTTCTAGCAGCTGTACAAGGTATTCGGATTGCAGACCAGTTAGGAATTCAGAATCTGCTTATTGGAGGAGATTCCAAAGTTGTTATGCGATGGCTAACAAATCCAGGTTCAGTTATTTGGTGCTACAGGGACCTTCTGAGGAAAGTTAATTGGTGTTCAAGGAACATGACTGTTACCTCACAGTAGGTGGGTAGAAGTAAAACAGCTAATACCATAGCGGATGGGTTAGCTAAGCAAGGGGCCTCAAGGGAACAATTATTTTGGGAAGCTCTGTAACTTTTTGTTTTCTAGTCTGATGTAATACAATGTTGTTGTTTAGGAGAGGTACCAGCTTGTGTCTCTCCTTGGGTAGCCTGTATTGTCTTATCATCTTGATTTTTCTTTAATAAAATATTACTTGTAGGTGTTCAAGACTGCTATCAGTCTTGATCACTAAGAAACTTCAGGTTCGAAAAGAAGAGAGTGTGAAGAAGAAAGAGGAAAAAAATAGTGAGAGAGCAGTAGAACACAGGCTTTGAAAGGAAGGACAGAATCTCAATGTTCTGCTGCCGCCACTTCACTTTAATATTTATATGTTATGCTAGTTACATGAAAGGACCATCAGCTATGACTAGATACATTCTACCCTACGGACAGAGTGGGACCACAGCTGTGGGGCCCACATCAGTGTTCTCTACACTCCCCCTCAAGTTGGGAGTAAATGTTCATCATTCCCAACTTGGATAGATCCGCTTCTAGCTTCTTTCTTGATACGGCTTTAGTGAGGATGTCTGCTAGTTGCATACTG